CCTGGTCAGCCGGGTCACGGACCCTGTCAGCCGGCTGACATGTTCACGGGCCTGATGACAACAGTTCCGGCTGACCGGATCACGGCGCCAGGAAGAGATCAAGGCCCCCGGGCCAATCTCCCGGACCACTTAGCCTCCTGGGCGGGCCTCCAGGGGGTCTGAGGCGGGGCTGAAGGGCTGCAAGTCGGTCTACTGACGGGCCCCGGCCGGCAGGATCCCGTCGAGAAACAGGGGGGGTTCAAGGGAGGTTTTCTTTCCCCCTGGGAGAAAATGTCCTATGGGTTTTTGGATCTGCGATATAAAAAAAGTCTTGTCTCGGTCACGTGATGTGTCACGTGACCCGGTCAGGTGAGCCTGTCCAGCCGGGTCACGGCCCCTGTCAGCCGGCTGACATGTCACGGGCCTGCTGACACGGTCCGCTGACCGGTCACGGCCGCCCGGAGAGATCAGGCCCCCGGCCAATCTCCGGACACTTAGCCTCCTGGCGGGCCTCCAGGGGGTCTGAGGCGGGGCTGAAGGCTGCAGTCGGTCTACTGACGGGCCCGGCCGGCAGGATCCGTCGAGAAACAGGGGGGTCAAGGGAGGTTTTCTTCCCCCTGGGAGAAATGTCCTATGGGTTTTGGGATCTGCGATATAAAAAAGTCTTGTCTCGGTCACGTGATGTGTCACGTGACCGGTCAGGTGAGCCTGTCAGCCGGGTCACGGCCCCTGTCAGCCGGCTGACATGTCACGGGCCTGCTGACACGGTCCGCTGACCGGTCACGGCCGCCCGGAGAGATCAGGCCCCAGGCCACCGGCCAATCTCCGGACACTTAGCCTCCTGGCGGGCCTCCAGGGGGTCTGAGGCGGGGCTGAAGGCTGCAGTCGGTCTACTGACGGGCCCGGCCGGCAGGATCCGTCGAGAAACAGGGGGGTCAAGGGAGGTTTTCTTCCCCCTGGGAGAAATGTCCTATGGGTTTTTGGATCTGCGATATAAAAAAGTCTTGTCTCGGTCACGTGATGTGTCACGTGACCGGTCAGGTGAGCCTGTCAGCCGGGTCACGGCCCCTGTCAGCCGGCTGACATGTCACGGGCCTGCTGACACGGTCCGCTGACCGGTCACGGCCGCCCGGAGAGATCAGGCCCCCGGCCAATCTCCGGACACTTAGCCTCCTGGCGGGCCTCCAGGGGGTCTGAGGCGGGGCTGAAGGCTGCAGTCGGTCTACTGACGGGCCCGGCCGGCAGGATCCGTCGAGAAACAGGGGGGTCAAGGGAGGTTTTCTTCCCCCTGGGAGAAATGTCCTATGGGTTTTTGGATCTGCGATATAAAAAAGTCTTGTCTCGGTCACGTGATGTGTCACGTGACCGGTCAGGTGAGCCTGTCAGCCGGGTCACGGCCCCTGTCAGCCGGCTGACATGTCACGGGCCTGCTGACACGGTCCGCTGACCGGTCACGGCCGCCCGGAGAGATCAGGCCCCCGGCCAATCTCCGGACACTTAGCCTCCTGGCGGGCCTCCAGGGGGTCTGAGGCGGGGCTGAAGGCTGCAGTCGCTCTACTGACGGGCCCGGCCGGCAGGATCCGTCGAGAAACAGGGGGGTCAAGGGAGGTTTTCTTCCCCCTGGGAGAAATGTCCTATGGGTTTTTGGATCTGCGATATAAAAAAGTCTTGTCTCGGTCACGTGATGTGTCACGTGACCGGTCAGGTGAGCCTGTCAGCCGGGTCACGGCCCCTGTCAGCCGGCTGACATGTCACGGGCCTGCTGACACGGTCCGCTGACCGGTCACGGCCGCCCGGAGAGATCAGGCCCCCGGCCAATCTCCGGACACTTAGCCTCCTGGCGGGCCTCCAGGGGGTCTGAGGCGGGGCTGAAGGCTGCAGTCGCTCTACTGACGGGCCCGGCCGGCAGGATCCGTCGAGAAACAGGGGGGTCAAGGGAGGTTTTCTTCCCCCTGGGAGAAATGTCCTATGGGTTTTTGGATCTGCGATATAAAAAAGTCTTGTCTCGGTCACGTGATGTGTCACGTGACCGGTCAGGTGAGCCTGTCAGCCGGGTCACGGCCCTGTCAGCCGGCTGACATGTCACGGGCCTGCTGACACGGTCCGCTGACCGGTCACGGCCGCCCGGAGAGATCAGGCCCCCGGCCAATCTCCGGACACTTAGCCTCCTGGCGGGCCTCCAGGGGGTCTGAGGCGGGGCTGAAGGCTGCAGTCGGTCTACTGACGGGCCCGGCCGGCAGGATCCGTCGAGAAACAGGGGGGTCAAGGGAGGTTTTCTTCCCCCTGGGAGAAATGTCCTATGGGTTTTTGGATCTGCGATATAAAAAAGTCTTGTCTCGGTCACGTGATGTGTCACGTGACCGGTCAGGTGAGCCTGTCAGCCGGGTCACGGCCCCTGTCAGCCGGCTGACATGTCACGGGCCTGCTGACACGGTCCGCTGACCGGTCACGGCCGCCCGGAGAGATCAGGCCCCCGGCCAATCTCCGGACACTTAGCCTCCTGGCGGGCCTCCAGGGGGTCTGAGGCGGGGCTGAAGGCTGCAGTCGGTCTACTGACGGGCCCGGCCGGCAGGATCCGTCGAGAAACAGGGGGGTCAAGGGAGGTTTTCTTCCCCTGGAGAAATGTCCTATGAGTTTTTGGATCTGCGATATAAAAAAGTCTTGTCTCGGTCACGTGATGTGTCACGTGACCGGTCAGGTGAGCCTGTCAGCCGGGTCACGGCCCCTGTCAGCCGGCTGACATGTCACGGGCCTGCTGACACGGTCCGCTGACCGGTCACGGCCGCCCGGAGAGATCAGGCCCCCGGCCAATCTCCGGACACTTAGCCTCCTGGCGGGCCTCCAGGGGGTCTGAGGCGGGGCTGAAGGCTGCAGTCGGTCTACTGACGGGCCCGGCCGGCAGGATCCGTCGAGAAACAGGGGGGTCAAGGGAGGTTTTCTTCCCCCTGGGAGAAATGTCCTATGGGTTTTTGGATCTGCGATATAAAAAAGTCTTGTCTCGGTCACGTGATGTGTCACGTGACCGGTCAGGTGAGCCTGTCAGCCG